GGGACGCTCCGGCGCGGAGAGGCTGCAGAGGCATAACAGGGCCAGCGGCAGCACTGGCGGGGAGAGGGGAGCTGCGGCACCTGCCCTAATTTTTCCAGCTCCGGTTCTTCTGCCCAGTGCGTTGCGCGCTGGAAATCCCAGGTGCAGATGGACGGGGATGTGGTCGTAATAGGACCTCGGATCACCCCCGTTCTGGCTGTGCCTGAGCCGCACTTGCGTGTCTTTGCCCGCTGAAGAGCTGCCCTAAGGGCTACGGGGGGAGGTCCCTGCTGGCAGCCACACGGTGTGCAGGTTGGCGCTTTTGGGGACAGGTCCCCTGCCCCGCTCCTGAGGCCACCCCTGCGCAAAGAGCGCAGCTCTGAGCGGTCCCAAGTTGAACTGCAGCTGCCGCTGGCGGCGGGAGGCTTTGCTGTAACCCCGCTGAGAAGCCGTCCCGAGCGGCGCGGGTCTGCCCTGGCTCGTGGCCTGAGCCGGGGGGGTGTGCACGTGGGTCCCTGCGCACTGGCCTACGTAGGTATGTGCAGAAGAGGATTTGCTTTTCCTGGAATGCCGGCGCTGTGTATGTTGGAGAAACTCGTCGATTAGAAGAGCAAAAGGACAGCGCACGATTACTCGCCCGAGACGAACGCGGGCCGTAAGCTCATTAAGGGCTTGGAGGCTGCCTGCTGGAGCAGGGGCGTTGCAGTCCCTGGCTGTTGGGAGACCGCTGCACGTCGCTCCCAGAGCTTTGCCTTCCCAGAACGGCGGGAGCCCCTCGGAGACCCCAGCCATGCTGGCGACCCTGATGACAGCGCTGTTTTTTGTGGTGAGAGCGTTTGGGCAGGTGAGTCTGGGCTGGCCTGGCAGCAGGGAGGCTTTAGTGCTTTCCGCTTCAGTTCGAGGAGCGTGTGGGTGATCTTCTTGGAGGAGGTGGTGAGCAGCGGGGAACGTGGGCTTGGCCACTGCCGTGGGCTGGGGATGCCCCAGGCTCCTGCTCCCGTGGCTGTGCAGCCCAGCGGCTCTGCTCCTCGCCAGCACATTGCCCGTGGCGCTGGCCGGGGGCACGGCGGAGGGTCTGGCACCCTAGCATCGGCAGGATCACCCGCAGTTTGGCGGGGGGCGGTTCCCTGTTGCACCCCCGCCTGCGGGAAGCAAGCGCAGGTACTTGGGCTTCCCAGTCTGGCGAGTGCAAACGTGCACGCCGAGTCTCGGAGCTCTTTGGGTTGGGGGGAGAAGGAAAACGCTCCCCTGTGTTGGGCTGCTCTCCACCGGGGAGAGGGAAGAGAGTGGAAATGGCTGCTAGGTTGGCCACGGGCTGTGTCACCGGCCGGGCGGCCTCTGGAAGGACAGGCAGTCATTCCCGGCCCCCTGAGCCTGCCTCTGGCTCTCCTAGCCCCGGCCCCAGCGCTGTGATCCCTGGTGATGCCTACGGAGGAGCAGCGCGCTCTGTCGCTCCTCTGCTTCCCTCCTCTCCTCTTACCTGCTGCAAATCCTTTCCGCGTCCAGCTCGGGACCAACCTGTTCCGTGAGGAGCCCCTGCCGTACCTCGTGTACCAGCCCCTGCCCTGGCAGATCCAGTGCGTGACACAGAGCCGCCGCACCAGCCGGGACAGCGAGGTGAGGGCTGCTTTCTCCGCGGGCCACCGGCCGTGGTGGCAGCTGGTTTGGGGACAGGGCAGTGCCTGGTGCGGGGGGAGCAGCACCCATCTATGACCCGAACGGGCTGCTGGGGGCAGGAGGCTCAGGCTGGGGGGGGGATTTTTTTTTCCCTCGAAAGACAGAAAATAGGGGAATGCCAGGAGGCAGGATAAGCTGAAAAATATAGGAAATGTATTTGTAGACAAATTCAAGCTTATTTTTAGGAATGAAAATATCCCCTAGCAGACCCGACATCCCAGGCGCTGCTGCAGTACGGTGGTGGGGCTGCAGCCGAGGAACCAAACCCAGCGAGTCTGGTTCCACGCTGATGTGAAATGCAGACCTGGTGGGGTAGCCCGTGCCAATGCACCTCCTCAGATCCTACCAGCATGTCTGATTTTTGATACAAAGCTCTCTTCTGCTTCCCCGGGGAGGACCTCTCACAAATGCAGATTACCCAGTCCGTGCTCTGTAAGGGAAGAGCAGCGCGTATTGCCAGGTCTCCCGAAGGGAATGGGAACGGAAAGCTTGGTGAAGCTCGCCCTGTCCCTTCAGAGCCTCCCAGCCAGCCTGGAAGGGACCGTCCTCGCCACCTCTGCCTGAGAGAGAACTAACGCCGTTGTATTTTTGTCCTCTACCTTTCTAGAAAGGCAGGAGCTCTCGGCACAACAGCATCTACTCGATTTCTGGAGAGAAAGGTGAGCGTGGAGCCCGCAGAGACAGCCCTGCCCAAGTAGTGGGGGCAACTCAAGGTTGTGACCGTGGGACGCAGCATTGCAGTCCCTGGACCCTTCTGGGCCCCCTTCTTCTTCCAAAATACCTCTTACCGTCACCAGGCAGGGATTTCTTTGGGAGCCAGCTCTCTGGGAGGGAGGCCCTCTCGGCGAGGTAGCTTTCTGGCCAGCCCAGCCTAGGGCTTGCCGGCGGCGCTGTGGTTTTGGCCAGTTCTCCTCCCTGTGGAGGGTGCCCTTCCTGCCACCCCCGGGAGGGCGCGTGGGTACCCACGGGATGCTGAGATGTTCTTTAAAGCCTGTAGCAGCGGCAGGCGAAGGCCCTAGTGTGAATGCACACCAGCACACGTGTGTGTGTGTGTGTGCAGATGCCTGCCTTCCTCTTCCCATGAAACCTGCCCCAGCGTAGCACACGGGTCCCTGTCCCCCAAAGCAGGGCCCCTTTTCTCCTTGGCCTGGCAAAAACCACCCTGATTTTGTCCCCCTCTCCTCCTCCTTGCTCTTGCCGCTAAGACTCTGCCCCCTCTGCTGAAGTCAAGCGCTCAGCAAAGAGGATTTGAGCACTTCTATTCTCAGGGCGGCTCGGGCGGCAATCGGATAAAGGCAGGTAAAGGCGTCTTCATTCCTTGGATTCTTCTCACGCCCTTTTAACGGGCAGAAAAGGTGGTACCCTAATCATCTGTATCACAGAATTATAGAACGGTTTGGGTTGGAAGGGACATTAAAGAGTTGCTACCCCCCTGCCATGGGCTGGGACACCTTCCACTTAGACCAGGCTGCTCAAAGCCCCATCCGACCTGGCCTTGAACACCTCCAGGGATGGGGCAGCCACAGCTTCTCTGGGCGACCTGTGACGGCGCCTCGCCACCCTCACAGGGAAGAATTTCTTCCTTCTATCTAATGTAGACCTACCCTCTTTCCATCTAAAGCCGTCACCCCTCGTCCCGTCACTCCTGGTAAAAAGTCCCTCTCCAGCTTTCTCACAGGCCCCCCTCAGGCACTGGGGGGCAGCTAGAAGGTCTCCTCAGAGCCTTGTCTTCTCTGGGCTGAACAACCCCAACTCGCTCAGCCTGCCTGTGGCCTCAGACCCTCTCCATGGCCTGCTTGTTATTTTGGGGACCCCAGAGCTGAAGGCAGTGCTCCCGGTGGGGCCTCAGGAGAGCGGAGTAGTGGGGGAGAATCGCCTCCCTCGACCTGCCGCTCGCGCCGCTTTGGATGCAGCCCAGGAGAAGACTTCTGGGCTGCGAGCGTGCATTGCTGGGTGATGTCGAGCTTCTCCTCAACCGACACCCCCACGTCCTCCTCCTCGGGGCTGCTCTCAACCCTTCTCCGCCCAGCCTGTATCTGTGCCTGGGATTGCCCTGGCCCCTGTGCACGACCTTGCCCTTGGCCCTGTTGAACTTCACGTGGGTCGCACGCAGCCACCTCTCAGGTTGGGCAGGACGTGCCCCTGTGGCTCCCCAGCCTCCGGCGTTTCGGTTTTGCGGCGGGCAGGACTTACGGCTGAGGATGTGTCTTGTTAAGCAGGGCAGGAGGGGGCCGATTCCCAACGCGGCCTCGGTTTTTTATGCATCTTTTTACTTTGCAGTTTCTTTTAGGATGCGAATAAAAATGGGTTCAGGTGACAGTGGTGAGTTTATACAGCAGCATCTGGCACCGGGGTTTCTGATCGCTGCTCAGGGGGTGCTTAGCAGTGACACGCTCGCTTAAAGGAGCACCGCTGAGTGCCTGTGATTCAGTTCCCGCTGAATTCCACAATACTTCCCTAATGCCACATTAAGCGCGGGGTGGGGAGGGCTCCCATTTGTCAGCGTGAGAGCTTTATTGCTCTACAGGGGCGGGCT